AAGCAAAGGCTCTGACATACAACCTCGGATAGGTCTCACATCCTTGGTGGATTCTCTCAACCTCTTCCACACAGGTTAATGTAATCGAGCAAAGGCTCTGATATACAACTTCTGATAGGTCTCACATCCTTGGTGGATTCTCTCGACCTCTTCCATACAGGTTAACGTCGTCGAGCAAAGGCTATGACATACAACCTCATATAGATCTCACATCCTTGGTGGATTCTCTCGACCTCTTCCACACAAGTTAATTCGTTGAGCAAAGGCTCTGACATACAACCTCAGATAGGTCTCATATCCTTGGTGGATTCTCTCGTCCTCTTCCACACATGTTAACATAGTCAAGAAAAGGCTCCGACATATAACCTTGGATAGGTCTCACATCCTTAGTGGATTCTCTCGAACTCTTCCACACAGGTTAATGTCGTCGAACAAATGCTCTGACATACAACCTCGAATAGGTCTTACATCCTAAGTGTATTCTTTTGACCTCTTCCACATAGGTTAAAGCAAGGCTCTGACATACAACCTCGGATAGGTCTTACATCATATGTGTATTCTCTGGTCCTATTCTATATAAGTTAACATCATCGAGTAGGGCTCTGACATACGACCTCATATAGGTTATATATTCTTGATGAATTCTCTCAACATTTTATATAGAGATTCTTAGCGGGTTAAAAAGCCTCAAAAAGTATATTATGCAATATATCAGAGCATGGCTTAAAGATACATAAACAATTCAATTTTCTGTGAGGGATAATATCTCAACTTTATATATAATATCACTGGAGTTACATTACAAAAAATATACAACATGTTCATTTTTATAATAATCTAGAAGTAAAAAGTACATGGACATCATCTGTATAAGTTATAATCATTAAACAACAAGTAACTTCAAAATAGTCAAATATCCTTAGTGGATTTAGTGACTTCTTCTCTACTGCACATGAATGCATTTCCTAAAACTTCTTCTTCAAAGAAAAATTACAATTTAATCTTCATCAGGTCTCAACTCAGTTAACACTATACATATGTCACCAGACGACTAACATAGCACACTTCTTTGGCTCCTTAAATCATGGATATCTAATGTCGATAAACTTCCTTATGGATGCATATTACCTTTGCAAAATGCCACTGGACACCCGCCATACTGATATTTATCGGCGGTCCTTTACTTCATATCAGCCATCATTGAATTATTGCTCGACTGCTACTAGCAGCACACCCTCGAACTTTCTCCTTCATCTCTCCACTCAACCGTTGATTTCCAGTGGACTTTAGCTCTATTATCCATCACCAACAAACTTTCGCTCAAACAACATCGAAATTCTCCCCGTCTACTCATCATTTCTGATTTTCCTCCCTTATAATATTATTGTCAAATATTCTAAAACCACCCTCGCATATAAGCAACGATGGATCTTCTTCTATCAAGGGTTATCTATTAAGAAGATAGCCTCTCATCGTAACTTCTTTTACACAATAGAGGGGCACTGAAACTTGATAGGAGAATGCCACCTATCTTCGATAGTGGAATACCTTCAATGCAAGAAGAAGAACATAAATGAAGAATAAGAAGGAAAAAAATCTCCTTCTATATAAGAGATGGGCACTGAAGCTTAATAGGGGAATGCCGCCTATCTACGACAGTGGAATGCATCCAATATAAGAAGAAGACCATATGAGAAAAAAGGAACAACTCTAAAAATTCTAACTTCTACACACTGAGAGGGGCCTTGAATTTTAGTAGGGGATGTCGCCTAAAACAAACAGAGGAATGCCTCAACTGTAAAAAAGATAGAATGAGGGAGGAGAAAGAAAAGAAATGGCTAAAAAAAGTCTAACTTCTGTACAAGAGGAGGGGTGCCGATTTAAGTAGGGAAAGTCACCTACGAAAAAAAATGAAATGCCTCGACTGTAAGAAGATAGCCAAAGAATAAGACAATAGAAGGAGAAAAATTTTTCTTTTATACTGAAGAGGAGAGCTGAATTTAAGTAGGGAAAGTCACCGACGAAAAACAGCGGAAGGCCTCTTGAGCAAGAAGAAAAATGGGGGAGAAAAAAGAAAAAGAGAGGAAATCTCTAACTTCTATACAAGATGAGGGGCACTGAGTCAAGTAGGGAAAGTAACCTACTGAAAAACAGCGAAAAGCATCAACTGTAAGAGAGCCAAAGGGAGAAGAGAAGAAGGTGCAGGTTTTCCTTTGGCCTAGTGGGTCTATTTATAGCATTTTTTGAGAAGAAAAGAAATTTTCAGAATTTTATGTAATTTTTTGAATTTTTTAAAATTTTTTGAATTTTTTTGAAAATTTCCCACATTTTTTGGGAATTTTTCTACAAAAAAATAAAAATAAAAATCGGCCGGCGGTTTGCCAAACTGCCAGTGGCAAACCACCAGGTTGGCAAACCACCGGGCGGCTGTAAAACCGGCACCGCAAGGGCTAGGCGCGAGCCGGCCGAGCCACAGGCACGGGCTGATTGTGTGGGCCCAAGCGGGTCTCGAGGGGGCTGCGGGGCGGGGCCCAGACTGGTCGAGCGAATGTCGCAGGCAGGCTATCTGCGCAGCGCCAGCGAGCGGGCCGCAGACAGACCACTGCGCAAGCCGGATGGGCAGAACGGGCCGGCTAGGTGGCGCGCACGTTTCTGCTGCCGGCGGCGACCGGCCGGCCGGTTCGGCTGCCTACATAATTTTTGGTCCAATTTTTTACCCGAAAAGGTTAAATCCGACATTTTTGGGATCCCTTAACACGTTTTTCAAAATTTCTGACTCAATTTTGACTCTTTCATAGTTTAACAAGGCCTCTATGATCAAATTTGAGCAAGTTTATATTTTTTAGAATGTAATTTTTTGTGATTTGGCCAATAAAAAAAGTTGACACATATATTTTTGGACTTCTGGAGCTTTGACATCCAAAAATAGGGAGGGAGCTGATATGTCCTCAAAAAATTATCTTGATCGGGCATGAATCTCGAGGCAAATATCAAGTTGGAAACTTCAAAAATTAAATCTAGGATCACCTGAACTCCGATTTCAGCGAACTTAGAGTCGAACTGATTGTCTCAAAAATACGAACCCAACGACACCAAATTTGACTCAATCCGAGCCCAAATGAGTCCAAATCAAGGACCCGAAGTAATGTTTGAAAGTTCGAACCACAATTTGAGTTACCAAACAATTTTCAAAAATGACATGCTTATAGTCGAATCGAGCGAATCAATGTGATGAATCCAATGAGGCAGGGATTGATGAATTCTACATCATTAAGACTTTCAAATGTCTGACAAACTGTACATGATCAAGGGATTCAATATCGACTGTCCATCTGACCACTTCCTATTTACCCCTTATCTCTCATCTATTTACAAGCCATGCCACTCCAAAATATATATAAATAGACCCCTCAATTCTCATGAGAGGGGACCCAAGAGCCAAGCCTGAAGAGGAGGAAGAAAGAAGAGAAGAAGAGAAGAATAGGAGGAAAGAAACTCCTCGACCACCGCCGGAATTCCGTCTGACTTCCAAGTGAAGCCGGAATTCCGCCAGACTTCCACGGAACGCCGGAATTCTGCCCGACCTCCAAGTGACGCCAGAGTTTTGCCCGAATACCATCTAACGTAGGAGTTCTCCTCGGCCACCAACTGACGTCGAACTTCTACCCGACGCCAGACCTCGGCTAATCGCCAAGTTTTTACCCGACGTCAGACTTCTACTGATTATCAGACTTTCACCGAACATCTATCCGATCATGGTATTCTGTCCATTATTGGACTTCTACCTTACGCCATCCTTTTGACCTTCATCGTCAAATAATGGTCCTTCTAACTTACGTCACCCACCGACTACAATCCTTCCGACCTCCGTCGTCCACCGACTACGGTCCTCCTGACTTATGTCGCCCACTGACTACAGTCATTTCGATCACCATCGCCCACCGACAACGGTCCTGCTGACTTATGACGCCCATCGACTACAGTCCTTCCGACCTCCGTCGCCCGCAACTACGGTCCTCCTAACTTACGTCGCCCACTTACTACAATCATTCCGACCTCCGTCGCCCGCTAATAATGGTCCTGCTAACTTACATTTCCCTTTGATTACAATTCTTCCAACCTCCGTCGCCCGCCGACTACGTTCCTCCTGACTTATGTCGTCCACTGACTACAGTCCTTCTGACCTCCGTCGCCCTCCGACTATGGTCCTGCTGACCTATGTCGTTCACCGACTACAGTCCTTCCAATCTCCGTCGCTAGCCGACTACGGTCCTCCTGTCTTACGTCGCCTACCGACTATAGTCCTTTCGACCTCCGTCGCTAGATAACGGTCTTTATGACCTCCGTCGCCCGCCAACTACGGTTCTTTTAACCTCCTTCACTAGACTATTGTCCTTCTGAACAAACGAACACGTCAACAATGAATCTTTGTATTCCTACCATGTAATGCACTCAATTTTTAAAAAGAAAACTTTTCGTAATATATAGATATATAATATTATTTTTAAAATATTTAATTATTTTTGTACTGTATTTGCCCCCCTCAAAATGGCACGTGATCTTCGTACAACGTTGAGACATTAAACTTAATATTTCTCTACCGCCACAAATAGTACAAAACGCAACAAAACTCATCATATGAAAAAAAAAATTGCTTTGTGATATTATGATGCGATCTGCATAAAGATGGACTTTGAGTATGTTAGAATTTATGCTTAGATTAGTGATATCATTTATGAGTTAATCTCAACAACAATTTAAAACATTCAAGTTCATTTTTATGCAAATTGTGGGTAATTTTTATCTCAATATATAACTAATTATAAAAATTATAAATATGCAATATATTAAATACATAATATTTTTTTAATTTTCAAATGCGTAGATCTTAAATTTTTGAAAACAAAACCTCAACCGAACGATGCGATTCTTATTTACACGTGCAAATCACGTGCCATTAATTTTCACTATAAATAGCTTGGGATAACTGCAAGCAACTCAGACAAGGATGAAAACCTAGCCGCATCCATTCTTTCTCATGGGAGAGGAGACGAGGCTTCGAGCTTTGCTGATGCGAGTCAGTTGTGCGTATCAGTGCATTGTTCTTTTTTAACTTTAAGTAGAGATTTATATATGATAAAAATCGGGTTTTGTTTTCCTTCTTTCGTAAATCTGTAATTTACTGAGGACCTTATTTTATTCTTTGTTCTCCAGGGATCTAAGCCTTAGTTGAAAGATGTAGCCTAGTAGTTTAGAATTGCAGGAATTGACATCTAGATGTGCCGAATTTTACAAGAAATGACAATCTTTTGGTAAGTTTCTATATTCTGATTTGTTAATTATCCACCACCTCAAAAATCAATTATTTCCGTCCTGTTTTCTTTCTACTGTGCACTGTTTTCCCCTCTTACATGTACAAATTTTATAGAGTTAGTTATTCATGTAATGTGTATCAATGAACTTAGAATTATGAACACACAACCCTAACTTTGGATTACTCCAAAGAGTGACAGGCGGAATCCCTTGGCTGCTTTAAGTAATGGCATCGGCTGCTTGTATTCTCGTTGGCTTTCTGTTTACAGTTCAACTGGCTTCTTCGGTAACAGTTCTGGCACTCCGGTCTTTTACTGAAGCAAAAAAGGTGGTTTCCCTTTTCTGTTTTTTTTTTTCTAGGTCTGTGTTTTCCCTTTTCTTTGCTACTTCAAGTACTAATTTTTAGGTAGATGTATTTTGATTTCGTTTCTACTTTTAAAATGGAGTGTAGTTTCAGAGGATGCTTGCAATGTCATCTACAAATTGAGAAGGAAAAGGCTTCTACAATTGCAAATTGTGTAAAGAGAATTCCATGATAGAGTGTTCTCCTTATATGACCCAATAGCCATTAATCCATGCCTTTGCGCTACAGTCGATGGGAATAGGATGCATCTTGTAGTGTTTCCAACTTAAATTTATAGAATTATTTTTTCTATTCATTCTTATTGAGAGCATAATGAAGGTTTTTCATTGAGCCAGGGTACAACTCTATCTATATTGTTTGGGGGATGATATACACCTGAAATCAGCTAGGGTATGTATAATTTTATGCGAAAATATCAAATTTTGATGCTGATTATAAATCTTATGTGGCCCAATGTTCACCACGATTTTGTTTGTATTACTCTATTTTTTATTTAAGCTCTCAAATCTAATTTGAATTCTGTAAATCCAATAACCCTTTTATTTCTTTTTCCAAATAATATTAATTTTATGTGATTTTGTTATCGTTTTTTATTTAAATTCATATCTACCATCCTATTATTTTTTAATAAATTTTCATATTTGTTAAATCTTTAATCCTGAAAATAACTACAGAATATTTTATCAGGATTTTTCCTACATCTATCATGCCAAACAATTTTCATTTTTTAGCACTCTCAAGATTTACCAAACTCGGATTTTAAGGATTTACTAAACCCTACTTATAGCCAAACAACCCCTTGGGGTTTAAATAAGTTTATGGGCTCCTTAAAGGGGAGAGCTTTTAAAGGAAACTTCATAGCTCTAAAAAGCCCGCAGGTTCTCTGCGGCTGCCCGATCAATAGGAGCCCAAGAGAAAAGCGTTGATGGTCTCATAGTACGGGCTTACTCTATCTAAGGGTTTTGGGACTCTTGACTCTGACCTTGGATTCTTCTTGCAGGCCTGCCTCCAATGACCATCACATTATAATCAGCTCAGTGAAATGAATTTTCACATCTTTTTTGTGTTTTTTTTTTATTTTTCATGTTTCTTTATTGTGCATGATTTTTAGTAATCCATATTTTGTAGTTTTATGATTTTGAGTTTAAACTTCGTTGATTGTTTAGGATTAATTTTAAAAAGTAGTTTAATTAGAGATTAATTAAGCAAAAAAAATTGATTATAAATAAATTTTAAAAGGAACTAAAACATTAAAGTATTTGATGTTTTCTTAGAAAGCGTCAAATTATTTGGTTTTTTTTTAAGAAAAACACCAAATAGTATGGCTTTTTCTTTAGAAAAGGCCAAATAATTTAGTTTTTTCAAGATTTAAAATTGCTCAAATTAGTATCGAGGCATGTTTTATTCGTGAGGCTAGGCCCTTCAAAATAAAATAATTGTGTTGAGTCAAAATAAAGACCAAAAGTGATTTTGTATATAATACTCAAATAATATATTAAATGATGATATATTAACTTTCTATTCAACTATGGATTAACAAATTAGCATAAATATGAGATAAAAAATTGCATAAGATGTAAAGTGACAAGTGAGAAATTGCGTGAAATAAAATTGAATTCTAAATATTACATGCGCAAAATAATATTAAATATATAAATTTTATAAAAAATATTATATAACATCATGTTCAACTCCAAATTCTTTCTTTTTCAGTTCCTACTCATTCATATTTAATTTCTAAAAAAAGCTGAATAATTGAGAAAAACTAAACAAACTAATCTCTCTTTTGCCTCATACTGCGGAGTGCAATGCTCTAAGATAGGGGAAAGAAGGGCATTACCTATAAGACATCTCCCAAAAACTTAGTCAATTAAAATAGAGACAACAAAGAGAAAAAATATTGATATATAGCAATCTTATAGCTGATTTTTTGTGCGTGGAAGATTAATAACAAGGAATATGGTTTCAAAGCAGAGCCTAAAAAACGATTAAATCCTATTCTTCTTGGAAGTTGAAATTTTGCAAATTGCCATAAATGTTTTTTGGATTTTGAATTGGGTAACTTGGGAAACACTTGAGAGGGTCTAAATATTTGTTGAGTTGTGATTAAAATCCTTTGAAATTAATTCCTCTTTTACTAAGCATCTACCTAAATGTAATTTGATTAATCACTTCAACGACTAATTCAAACTTGCTATTTCCTGACAAATAATATTTACAGATTCTTAATAGGGATTAAAGGAGACGCGTTAAACCCATTAAGAGGCCCTTAAAAACCTGTTGGAGGTCTGCTAATAAATGGATTTGGAGATCAAAAGTTCTGCTGCTTAGCAGAGCAAGCACATAAAAGTTGAGGCAAGCTAACTTTGTGGAGTTCCATTAAACCTTGAACGAAGATCTTGAAGTGCCATAATAGAAATTAAGAAGATTTAAGCCAAATTAATTGAATTCATTTTTGAAAAATAAGACCGGTTTATATTCTTAAATATTATTAAGTTAGCATAAAAATTGTTTAAGCATTTTAAAATAATTTCTAATTTTATGTATACATACATAGCAATGTATTTAGCTTGATTTAGACAAGACTTTAAGAAATTGAAATAATGCTTGAGTTTCTTTTCTAAATGAAGAATAATAAATATTTTTTAGTTCTAAGGTGATCTTTATATGTACTTTTTGCTCCTAATGACTTGTGATCCTACATAAAGTTTAATGAATGAATTAGACTTATTTTCAAATATTATTTGTTATCATCAAAATTGTGTAAGTCATAGTTGGGGTCTTAAGGTTAACAATGTCTATTTGGGAAACACCTTTAAAGGTGGGAATATAATTAGATATTATAGATAAATTATGACATTTATTTCAAGGATTTGTTCATATTAAGCTCAATTTTTAATTAATTATAATTGTTAAAGAACTTGGTAGCTATTCATTCACTTTCTTTTCTTCTTTATACTCCTGATTTAGTTTTTTGTTTTCTTTTTCTTATGATCTGTTGTTAAAGTTGAGCTTTTGAATACATGATATGAGGGGTTATAAGAAGGATGACTTCTTATGGTTAAGTTGTTGATTAAAAATGCTTGGGGTCAAGAATTACTACTTAGTCATGTTTATTTCAAGTTGATGAAACTATTTTCCGTATTTGTTGATTCACCTCTTTATTCCACTACTAATTTACATTCAATTAGTTGTAAAATACCATGAACTCTTTTGATTCCTTTGTTAAATTTATATTATACCAGAAAATTTGAATGGGTCATTGATGCTTGTATTTAACATGTTGAAAGATTACTATGTTCTATTTATATGATAATTATAATGTTTTTTTTTTTTTGCTTTAAGATTTATTTCTTATATTGTTGAGTTTTTAATTAATTATTCATTATTTTTAATGTTTCTTGTGATTTTTTTTTCATTTTTATTCATTTTTAAAATAACGTTCGCAACACCATAAGTTATAGATGACTTCACGAGACTTGTTCTATTTGCTATTTCTCCTCTAGATTTTTGTGCTATGGTGTGCAATTTAGTGTTAAGAGTTCAATTCTAAGTCTAAAAAACAGGTGAAACTATATCTTTCAATTCTATCCACATAAGATTTTATGTTTTTGTTATAAATATTTTCAATCAGTTCCATAAAATTCTTTATCCTTAAATTTGAATTATTAGGAATAGAATATATAAGCCATAACATGTTGGCATAAGTCATGTTGTTAGATCCATGTAGTGCTTATGTGCATTGCACGATTCAACCAACTCAAACATCTCAATTGATAATGTTAGAGGTGTCTTTGTATTGTCTGTTTTTTCATGATAGTAGAAGGGTGTTGGATCATACAGAGCAAAGTAGATTTTCTAACTCAAACTTATTCTACAGTTCATATATAACTTAACCTACATTATTAAGACCTCATGATGTTTACAACAACAACAATATCAAGTTTTTATTCCACTACGTGGGCTCGAGAAAAAAAAACCCATGATGTTTATCAAAAGAGAGAAAAATTCGCCCTTCAGTGGAGTTGCCTTACCTCTATTATTTGGGATGACCATTAAGTGTTGAACTCTCAATTTAACCAGTTCAATTTGGTTCAGAATGCTAAAACCTAAATCTCATTACATCTCTAGAAGTGTTAATAAAAGATTACCCTGCTCCTTGTTCTTATTCACTCTTGTTTAGCCAACTTGCCTGTTACAAATAACCAAAACCCAAAGGCCAGGAATACAAATAATCCTATGATCTCTGAATTAAGAGATATGCATGTAGATTATCTTCGCCGTTGTTCCTTAACATAATAAAAATCCTCTATTTAGCTCTCTTGTACTGGGCCTTGGTTATAACCATGGAAATTTGAGAAATCTAAGATTAGAGTTCACTAGTTGAGTCCAAAAATTTAAGCTAGGTGCATTATCCAAAATCCAATGGTTCATGGTAACATGAATTCCATGTTAAATAACTTATCTTGCTGGCTTCTATGCCACAATGCTCCTTAGTTTGAACCTGGTTTAAGCAAATATCCTCTATTTAGCTCTCTTGTACTGGGCCTTGGTTATAACCCTGGAAATTTGAAAAATCTATGATTACAGCACACTAGTTGAGTCCAAAATTTAAGCTAGGTGAAGTTGACGAAAATCCAAAAGTTCATGGTAACATGAATTCCATGTTACAGAACTTATCTTGCTGGCTTCTATGCCACAATGCTCCGTAGTTGAGAACCTGGTTTAAGCAAATATTGGTTGCATTCAAATTACTGAACTCTAAATTCAGACATCCCCGTTGTGAAAAAGTAGAACTTTTGTTACTTATCGCATTGGACACAAATCAATAATGATATGAACTCTTTAAGATAAACATGAAGGTAATATGTAAAATTTTCATTGCAATTATGTTATAAATAATGAAGTATAATTGCAGTGAAAAAAATATTATATTTGAAGCTTTAGTTGCAAAAAGAAAGATAAACACCACTGCTTTGCTAAATCCATACAACTTGAGTGAACTAGGGACGTTACGTGTAAAGTGTAAAATATGCATTGTACAGTGATTAGGACCATGAGATGACGTATTATGCAATATCATTAAATGTTTATCATATAAGATTAGGTGAAGGATGCTTATGAGATAATGATTTTGTGCTTTTGAAGACGATAAAGATAATTGGCGTAAAAAAATATAGTTGTTTTTTTTTTTCGAATTGAAGAGTTGTCAACCAATTTGGAGATAGGCTTACCACATTTTAGAGAAACCCAACCAGAATAGCTAGGATTCAACCAAATAGGAGAGGATCAGGAAAGATGGTAGTGGGCTTTGTTATGAGTTGATCTTAGGTGGTAAATTTGAATGGATTCAAGAATACCTAATGAATGGATCCTTGATACTTTCTAGGATTTTGTTGTTAGGTGCAACAATTGAATGTTTATGATATTTGGCCGGATATTATGTGACATCATGAATATTAAGAGGGTCGGGAGTGATTAATAGGGACATCTTGGACATGGAATGGCTCCTAATAATAGACTTCTAGGATTATAGATTTTTTTGATGAGGAGGAATGAATGAACAGAATCTTACATCAAAAGAATAGTAAATGATATTGGGTAAAAGAGATAATTAGATAAAATATGTGGCCCCTTTTAGCTTAATAGGAACCTTCATGAGATGAATGGTCTCAATGGAAGCTATACCAAAAAAAGAAAAAAAAGGGGAAATTTTGTGTTGTTAAGCATGATATTTCATTGATTGGGATAAAACAAACACGCATAGCCGACTGGTTCATTGCATATTGTTATAGTATAATGGGGGGACTCTTAAAGAAAAAATGAATATAAGATTTTCAAGTGGATTTATAGAATGAATAGCTTGGCTAACTTGCTTAGTGGTGCTCTTGCCAGGGGGTCAACTATTTGCCCAAGCGATGGAATTCTTGGAAGGCATTAAGATCCTGGTTGGTAGTTTTGGCAATTTGGCTTTCTTTTGATTAAGTGGATGATTTACCTAATCGATTATTCCACAAGCTTCTCCTGTGGATGATTTACCTGATCGATTATAATACATAGTTTATGTTTCAAGCTGGTTAATTTAATGTTTCCATATTTTGCAAGACTAAACTATCGTACCTTCTCTCTTATTAATCTATCTAATAAATGACAGTCTTTTAATTATTAGGATGACCGTCTAGGAGATTGCTTCTAGGAGTAGCACACTTATGTTATGAATGAGTTTCGATAAGTAATGATGACATGAATATGATGAATGCATGAATGATGAAAGGAAAATTATGCAACAGTACATAAAATGATTTGAATGTTAGGCTGATGAGTTAGATCTAAAGAATCTCATGAATAATGTCTTTTAAGAATCAATAGATACCAGAGCATAACTTTGGAATACTAAAAATAGAAAAATCCAACTCCTTTTTTAAGGGAGTGGTGCCTCATGAGCCCCTTCAAAGAAAAGGTGTTCAATAATGATGTGGTAATACACGAGTCACAAGTGTCAGCGTGTCAGTTCCTAGGAGCTGGTTTTGACTTGGTTAGAGTATCTCGTACTAGAATCTTAGCCCATATACATATCCAATCAACCTTAGGGCTACAAATGAATTTGAGTGTTTGACTAGCTACTCGTGGTTTGGCTCGAGAAGAGCTCATTCATATTTGTTTGATAAGTAAACAAACAAGCTTGAAATCTTTTGATAAATGTTCGATAACTAAATAAACGAGCTTGAATAACTTGATGTTCGGTTCATTTATATTTATGAACAATATCATTTAACGCTCGCGAACAAGCTCGATTAGAGCTCGACTAAGAAGCTCTATTATAACTATATTAGAGTTTAAAAAAGCTCGCGAACAAGCTCGATTAGAGCTCGACTAAGAAGCTCTATTATAACTATACTAGAGTTTAAAAAAATATCTATTGTTAAATTTAATATTTTAATAATTAATTTTACTAATCATGTCTAAAATTGTTTAATAATTTATTTTTTCTTTTTGCATCCGCTTAAAATCGCAAACAACCCGCTCTCTAAATAAATATAAGATGAGTCATATATTGTTTGTTTGTGAACGAACTCATTTTTTAGCTCAAAAACACTAATTAGATATGTTCATGAACGGGCTTATTTCGCTAGATACGTTCACGAACAAGCTCGATGTAATTGTTTATTAGAAAGCTCGATAAGAATCGTTTATTAAGTTATTGCATATCTAGAAGTAGAGCTCATTTATAGCTCAATAAGGGATAAGGCTCGTTTGTTTAAAACTCAATAAGCATTAACCAAACATGAACACCCATTAATTTATACGGACAAAGCTTGAACACAAACAAGAAAGCTCGAATAAAACTCGAACCGAACTTGAACAAGCTGATAATAAACAAACTCAAACATGAACACATGCATACTTAGCTCGACTCGTTTGCTGCCCTAACCTTAGTCCTTAGTTCCAATATAGAAAGGTAAGAAAGACATCAATAATTAGATTTATCCATCTCCTTTTCGTCAGTTTTTTACAAAACGGCAAGAAATTACATAAAAAACTAGAGCCTTTTCATTCGCATCTGCCTTTGTTGTTAGGCCAGCACTTCATTTAGAAAGCAGGACTTAGGTTTTCCATCAAAGTAGCAAACAAAGACTGGTATGAAGCATTTTATGATATATTGAGAGATTGTGATAAAGAATGATGAATTGTACAGTGTTTTCATGCTTGAATTTTAACAGTATATGAAAATCAACTGGCTGGTGATTCCTGTTTACAGTATACCAAATAAATCCTCAGAATGATCACGTATTCACTTTTTTTAGCTCATATTTTAATTTTCGTTCAAGATATATTTTAATGTTATACACATTTTCATTGAACTTTTCTTATAATTTATTATAGTTATCTTCAGGTGATGAGTAAGCATGTTGAAGGAAAAGGAATTATACACCGACTGGGCTGTGTCATGAACATCTTGCTTTCGTTTCTTCTATTATTAGCGTGACAGCCCGGTTCAGACAGGCAGATTTGGGGTTCTGATGATAGTAAAGCTATATCTTTGTAAAATTGAATTTAGCTTTCAAAAAAATATTTTTTTTTTAAAAAAACTTAAAAATGAAGCTAAGTCTTTTAACGGTGGGGACTATTTTGCATATTATAAAAAACTTCAGAGGAATTAATTAGTTATGCTTGTCTTTAAATTTATGCTACACGCATTTGTGAATAATTGGGGATAATTCAATCATTGAGATGAAAGAGATTCATGATAAAGCTTCATAAACCGATTGCATATCTCTCTCTTTCTCTATGTCATGCTGACGAACTGGCATGCTATTGTCTTATCTCTAAAGAACAGGCATATCTATTTTTCTTTCTTTACTTGGCATTCTCTCTCTAGATTCTCTCTCTTAATTATGAGGGCTACAAGGAAGGGATAATTTCCTTGCGAAACAATGTGTTAGAAGATAGTTTTAGATGGAAAAATAGGTGAATTAAAATGCTATTAGATGTTAAGTAGGACAGATTTAGGAATATTTTTGTTTTTTTTATTTTTAAGAATATATTTATTTAGTTTAATCTTCAATTATTTTATGTTTTATTTTAAAATAAGTCCAGTGTTTATATATTAAAAAAAAAACTAAAAAAAAAAATATTGAGATGCTTGGGGTGTTAAAGAAAAATTCTCTATTATTTGCTGTCATTGTAGTTGTTGGCCCTTGGTTGTTAGCATCATCATTGATCATCTCTATTATCATCATTTTGTTGCTTGTCATTAGTGTTTTGTTGGAGAATGCT